GAGAAGCTCTTTCTTTCTTTCTTTCTTTCTTTCTTTCTTCATTCAGTAGGTATTTATTGAGTACTTCTTTCTTTCTTTCTTTCTTTCTTTCTTAGGTAAACAAGACACACAGCTACCATTCTTTCTTTCTTTCTTTCTTTCTTTCTTAGGTTGAAAACTCAAATGTCTTTGGTTCTTTCTTTCTTTCTTTCTTTCTTTCTTTGGGTCTGGGAGGTGATGCAAGGAGGGTGGGGTGGGCAGTGTGTTGAACTGGAGAGCACTGTTCTCTCAAGGAAGCAGCTTCTTTCTTTCTTTCTTTCTTTCTTTCTTGGAGGATGAGGGACCAGTGTTGCCATTCTTTCTTTCTTTCTTTCTTTCTTTCTTTGGATTTTTATAGATAGGGGATTTGTTCTTTCTTTCTTTCTTTCTTTCTTTCTTAACATAACAGTAACACTGTGTGTGTTTCTTTCTTTCTTTCTTTCTTTCTTTCTTATCCAGGGGCTCCATTTGTGCTCTTTTCTTTCTTTCTTTCTTTCTTTCTTTCTTGTTTGGGGCACCACTTGGAGCAGAGTTCTTTCTTTCTTTCTTTCTTTCTTTCTTTCAGAGGATGGACTACAGAAGGGAGTTCTTTCTTTCTTTCTTTCTTTCTTTCTTTGTGCTGTCTCTAGTACAGATCTGGTTCTTTCTTTCTTTCTTTCTTTCTTTCTTACAGGGAAGTCCTCCTTGGGGGTGGTTCTTTCTTTCTTTCTTTCTTTCTTTCTTGGCCGGATTCTCATCGATGGCGTGGTTCTTTCTTTCTTTCTTTCTTTCTTTCTTCGGTCCAAGTTCTCAGTTATCCCTCTTCTTTCTTTCTTTCTTTCTTTCTTTCTTAGGTGAGTGCTGGCCTATAGGCCAGCAAGGTACAGAGGCCAGGCCCCTGGGAGGGGTGGAAGGACCAGGATGCCAGGGCTTCTTTCTTTCTTTCTTTCTTTCTTTCTTTGCCTCAGTTCTGGGGACTCTGATCTCTCCTTGTCACACTGGTTCACTCACTGGGATTTGGAGTATCCTTGAAGATTGAATGAAGCTCTGATATACGCAAGAGCACTTTGTAAACTGTAATGTGCTAAATGAATTCTTTCTTTCTTTCTTTCTTTCTTTCTTAATCTGATGCGATTGGTCAGATTTCTTCTTTCTTTCTTTCTTTCTTTCTTTCTTTGCTATATTCTTTTATCTCTAGATGTTCTTTCTTTCTTTCTTTCTTTCTTTCTTGTAACTGAGCTGATTGGGACGTTTGTTCTTTCTTTCTTTCTTTCTTTCTTTCTTTGCACATTCCAGGCAGGGGAGAAGTTTCTTTCTTTCTTTCTTTCTTTCTTTCTTAACTGGGACTAAACTTTATCCAGATTTCTTTCTTTCTTTCTTTCTTTCTTTCTTCTATGTGGGAACACCAAGGCATGGATTCTTTCTTTCTTTCTTTCTTTCTTTCTTAAGCTAGATTCCTCATGTTTCAGGATTCTTTCTTTCTTTCTTTCTTTCTTTCTTGGAAAAACTTGACCCTTAGAGCTCTGTTCAATCATTTATGAATTTACTCATCATTTCTTCCTCCCTCCCTCCCCCCTCTCTACTTCTTTCCGCCCCGCTTCTCCCGCCCTTCCTCCCATCCTTTCCTCCCTCCTTCTTTCTTTCTTTCTTTCTTTCTTTCTTTGAGCCTTTGCCAGGTCCAGACATTTTCTTTCTTTCTTTCTTTCTTTCTTTCTTTGATCACTGCCCGTGTTCCCCCTAGTTCTTTCTTTCTTTCTTTCTTTCTTTCTTGTGGGTGTAGAAACGTACTAACCAATTCTTTCTTTCTTTCTTTCTTTCTTTCTTGATCAGAGATACGAACAAAGTGCTATTCTTTCTTTCTTTCTTTCTTTCTTTCTTTACTTAGATGAATCCAGAAAGGCTCTTCTTTCTTTCTTTCTTTCTTTCTTTCTTTTGAAGGATAAGTAGGAGCTTGCCTTTCTTTCTTTCTTTCTTTCTTTCTTTCTTGGAGAGTGCATAATATGTGCACAAACAGGAATTTTAAAATGATTGCATTAGGGAAATGAGATAACATTTAGTGAAAGATTTCTTTCTTTCTTTCTTTCTTTCTTTCTTCTATTGTGCCTTGATATAGGAGTAGTTCTTTCTTTCTTTCTTTCTTTCTTTCTTTTATATGTGCCAGCTTATGCTTTAATTCTTTCTTTCTTTCTTTCTTTCTTTCTTCCCTATGAAGTAGGCACTATTATTATCCCTCCTTTATAGGGGAAGACACTGAACTTGGAGAGGAAAAATGACTTGTTTCTTCTTTCTTTCTTTCTTTCTTTCTTTCTTAGGTATTACCCTAGGTAGTCTAATCTTCTTTCTTTCTTTCTTTCTTTCTTTCTTCCCCCTCCACCCTGCCCAGCCCGCATTCTTTCTTTCTTTCTTTCTTTCTTTCTTAGACCTGGGTTCTCTATCCATTGAGTTCTTTCTTTCTTTCTTTCTTTCTTTCTTCCAGCCTATCTCTCAGACTGACCTGTGGTGTGACTTGAACAAGCATTTAACACCAATAAGCCATAATTTTCCCATCAATTTCTTTCTTTCTTTCTTTCTTTCTTTCTTGAGGGTGTCAATGGAACCATCTATGTTCTTTCTTTCTTTCTTTCTTTCTTTCTTGCAGATAAGACATTCTGCCTTCTGCTTCTTTCTTTCTTTCTTTCTTTCTTTCTTAAATGTGTGTGGCTGCGAAAACTGGTTCTTTCTTTCTTTCTTTCTTTCTTTCTTTTTTAATCAGGACTGAGTGTTTGCATAATAGAGGAGGGTTAATAATGTTGCCTATGACAAATGCAAGTGTAAATCTTAATTCTTTCTTTCTTTCTTTCTTTCTTTCTTTGATGTTGTTTGGATGACCAATTAGTTCTTTCTTTCTTTCTTTCTTTCTTTCTTTAACCCCACCACAGTGAGATACCACTTCTTTCTTTCTTTCTTTCTTTCTTTCTTAAAAAGAAAAAAGCAAAAGGAATATTTCTTTCTTTCTTTCTTTCTTTCTTTCTTCGGAACCCTTGTGCACTACTGGTGGTTCTTTCTTTCTTTCTTTCTTTCTTTCTTAACAGTTTGGCACTTCCTCAAAAAGTTCTTTCTTTCTTTCTTTCTTTCTTTCTTAAATCTTCTAGGTATATACCCAAAATTCTTTCTTTCTTTCTTTCTTTCTTTCTTTGTGTATCAGTGTTTGTAGCATTATTTCTTTCTTTCTTTCTTTCTTTCTTTCTTAAGTGTTTGTTCATCAACAGATAAATTCTTTCTTTCTTTCTTTCTTTCTTTCTTATTAATGAGCCATAAAAAGGAATGATTCTTTCTTTCTTTCTTTCTTTCTTTCTTACCTTGAAAACATTATGCTCAGTGATTCTTTCTTTCTTTCTTTCTTTCTTTCTTGTATATTTCCACTTAAATGAGGTGTTTCTTTCTTTCTTTCTTTCTTTCTTTCTTAGTAAAATAGAAGTTACCAGAGGCTTTCTTTCTTTCTTTCTTTCTTTCTTTCTTGATTTTGATAGGGATGATGAATTTTTTCTTTCTTTCTTTCTTTCTTTCTTTCTTATTTAGTGCCACTGAATTGTATACTTTCTTTCTTTCTTTCTTTCTTTCTTTCTTTTCTAACACACATATACCTACACATTTCTTTCTTTCTTTCTTTCTTTCTTTCTTTTAAACTAAAAATGCCCTCTTTGGCTTCTTTCTTTCTTTCTTTCTTTCTTTCTTCAGGGGCCTAATGTCCCCCAACTCTTTCTTTCTTTCTTTCTTTCTTTCTTTCTTGGCTACTCATTGTATCTGGGAGTAGTTCTTTCTTTCTTTCTTTCTTTCTTTCTTGATGGTTGCAGCCATCTACTTATGCTTCTTTCTTTCTTTCTTTCTTTCTTTCTTGTGGTATAGGACCACCTGGACCACATTCTTTCTTTCTTTCTTTCTTTCTTTCTTTCCAAATAAAACTTGGGGGCCATAGTTCTTTCTTTCTTTCTTTCTTTCTTTCTTACAAGACATGACTGTTCATGGTAACTCCATGGGTTTCTCTACACCCAGTAAAACAGTTCTAACTATTCTTGGTCATCTATTCTTTCTTTCTTTCTTTCTTTCTTTCTTACATGTGGTTATAGAACACTTCTCTTTCTTTCTTTCTTTCTTTCTTTCTTTCTTCCCTTTGACTGCTACACAGATGAGCTTCTTTCTTTCTTTCTTTCTTTCTTTCTTCTGAGCATGACAGTAAGTAGCTCCATTCTTTCTTTCTTTCTTTCTTTCTTTCTTTTCAACAGCGGTGCCTGCAGGTCCTTTCTTTCTTTCTTTCTTTCTTTCTTTCTTTGCTGCCACTTTGGGGCATGGGTTAAATAATCTCATGGAGATGAGATGATTTTGGATTCCTAAGTCAAGTCTGATGGCATTCTTTCTTTCTTTCTTTCTTTCTTTCTTCCTAGGCTCAGGGGATGCAGCAAAATTCTTTCTTTCTTTCTTTCTTTCTTTCTTGTGCTTACATTCACTGGGAGATACAGACGACAAATAGACACACAAGAGGCTTTCAGATAGTGGTAAGTGCTGTAAAGGTGGTAATGAGACCAACAGATCCTGGTGAGGATGTTAAGAAATCAGAACCCTTGTGCACTCCTGATGGGAATATAAAATGGTACAGCCTCTGTGAAAAACAGTTTGGCAGTTCCTCAAAAAGTTAGAGGTAGAATTACCATCTTATCCATATGGGGAGTAGCTCCTTTACATGAAGGGGCCAAGCAAGGCCTCTTTAAAGATGGGAAGTTGGAGCTGAGACCCAATATTGAGGGGGCAGTAGGACACAGATCCTTGAGAGAACATTCCAGGCACAGCAACAGCATATGCAAAGACCCTGAGACTGGAGTGAGAGGGGCACAGGCAAGGAAGAGAAAGACCAGTGGCTAGAGTATAGAGAGGCAAGGAGTGTTGCAAAGTGCTACAGGGGAGGTCTGGTAGGGGTCAGGTTAGGTCTTGCCTACATAGCCTACATCTCATTTTCCTGCATATTACAGATCTCAAAGTTACCACAAGGACTGCAAGCAGAGGTGGTGGAAAGTGGCAGAAACTTCTCTGTGGGGGAGAGGCAGCTGCTCTGCATTGCGAGAGCACTCCTTCGCAACTCCAAGGTGAGACCACGGAATGGCCATGGGAGGCTGCGGATGACACCTGGCTTGGGAAACCACACTGGCTGTTTCTCCCTCCGTCTCTGTAGGGTAGTGGGTGCTGTGCTGTACGTCCTCTCCACAAACACCCAAAGGGCTTCCTCATGTCACTGGTGGCCATTCTCTACATATCTAGTGTGGGCGAG